TGGCTGTAGAAGAACCCTCTAGATACTTGTGTGAGTTGACAATCTCTTCTTCCTCTCCTCAGCACTCCACATTCTAACCGGTAAAACTTCAGCGGAAGAAGATTATGATATCCGATGATTTGACCAATAACTTTTCCTCAAACTTTACAGAAAATTGCTCCACAACCCTTACTATCACTCAAAAAAGTTTTAGATGTTTTTCTTTTCTAGATCTCTCAAAACAATTGGTGATTTACCCACTATATCACAAGGCGATATGCAGGCCCCTGATTACAAAACCCATCACACATCCCAATTCTTGACTCCTATTCCTCTCAAATTTCATGAGAAGGTCACTCTTCATCCGAACTTCAATTCTAAGAAGTTTTATTGATAAAACGATCTGCTATCAAAAGATATGATTGATGTACTAAGTTTGTGATAGTCAGTGCAATCCTGCAACTCTGACTGCTTACACAAACTTCAACCTATCACTCCATACTCAACTCTCTTCCAATCGAGTCAAAACTTCAATCAAAACACAAGCTTGAGTCTTAAACTGTATCTCTGTCAACTCAGATCTCCCAAAACCCTTGTCAAATTCTCACAAACACTCCAAATACACTCAAAGGTTGAAATTTTTCTCTCTAACTTTGAATCATTGTTTTAGAGTGACTTATCCTTCAAATCCATCCATTCTTGAGCCCACATTGTAGCCCGTTCCGTCAGATTTCCAAGGCTATCCTCAGATTTTTGAATGTCCCCCTACAAGGTCTTCAAAATCCCTAAAAACAGCGAAAAGTTACCATAGTGTCCTCATTGGTCAAAACTCCTAGACCAATGGGAATGGAGAATGCTATCTTGACCTCTAGTGTGGCCAAATTAACTCCATTGAAACTTAGAGGTTTGCAACTATCCTAAACACTCTACTTAGACATCCTATACACAATATGAGTTGTCACTAATAAGAGTTAAAATGACAACTTGAAACCAGCTAAGTATACCCAAAAGCGATCACGATGAAGACACCGGATGTTGATCACAAATGGACTCGACAATGGTACATCTTGAGGATCATGTTGTCTCCTATCCACGTCCTACATCAACTCCACTTCAATCAGATAAGCTCCTTAGTCAGCAAGGTGATGTGTCTAGATCTTCCTAGCTCTTCTGACCTTACAATGCCATTTGTTACCCTAACCTAAAGTATCGCCGTCATGAAAACAACTCTGAAGATGACACATGTCATCATCTTCTCATAGTAGCCGCGTCACAACACGACAACGTGCTTTTCACTTACCGCTTGATCGGTTGGCGCACGATCCCATGGACGAGTTAGCATGGTTTTTATTTTTATTCCTTCCGCGATGATGTCTACGTTATACTAGAGGGGGACGTGCTGGACCTAGAGAGGTGGTAGCTAGATTTCGGAGATTTCAAGGAGGGGATTGGGCTACATTGCAGGAGGAGTCTGTTGCCACATAGGTTAGAGTCGGGTTCGGTCCACATGATACTTCTGATTCGGGCGTGATTGCAACGGTGTAGGATCTTGGGGCGGGCCGGGAGTATATAGCAGGGCGCATGTGCCCTTCATCCTTTGTCCATGGCTAGTTCTACTGATGAGACGATTTCCTCTTTATGCCTTCTACATCCACCCATGGGCGAGGAGATACCATTAGAGGTCTTGGAGTATCAGCTAGAGGAGCCATTATGTCTTGATAGATCATTATCTATGCACAACCCCACGTTTATCCTCTGGAGGTTTGTTAGGGATGGTATATGAGCATCTTCGAGATTGCTTTTAGGCAGATGATCCCTCTAGTGGTTTCACGGAGTTGTTCCATGTGGCTGCATCAGTTGCGAGAGGGAGATTCCGTTGTCAGTTAGTCAGGCTCTAGGTGCTAGTCGGCTTCTCGCGATGGTGAAGGACACTGGTGGCATCAAACCGATTGCTATTGGAGAGGTCTTATTGCGATTAGTCAACCGTACCGTTGTCTTGCAGCATCGCTCACACTTCCAAGAGCATCTTTGTCCACATCAGTTTGGAGTCGCCACACCAGGAGGCTGTGAGGCAGTATCGTTGGGCATAAGAGCACTTCTAGATATCCATCCGGATTGGGTTGTCTTGCAGGTGGACGTTGAGAACGCTTTTAACAGCTTCTCGTGTGCATCCATTTTTAGAGAGCCGAGAGAGGCTGGTGGACCCCTATCAAGCCTCATTCCTTCCGTACGATCTTTCTACGGTTCACATTCTTCTCTATTTTATCAGCATGGCTTTTTCGAGGAGGGAGTCACCGTTCTACAGTCCGTCGCTGGCACTAGACAGGGAGATCCTTTGGGAGGACCCTTATTTGCCATGGCTCATTATAGAGCTCTTGTGTTCATCGCTTTTGGCGTGCCGGTTTGTGTTCCCTCCTTAGCGGATGATACACACATTATGGGCCCTGTAGATAGCATTAGGCAGGCCTTTGATTACTTGACTACCGAGCTTCATCGGGTAGGCTTGAGAGTCAAGGTGTCAAAGTGCAGGGCTTGGTCTCCTTTGGGCATTCCGCCTCAACTTCAGCTTCCAGAGGGATGTATGATATCGACAAATGGCCTAAGTATTCTAGGAGTGCCAGTAGGGACTGAGGATTTTTTTTCACACTACCTTGACGTTGTATTGGCCAAGGATGTTTTGCATGTAGACGACCTTCCTCTACTAGGGGATCCGCATGTTGCGTTTGGTATACTATCATCTAGTATTGCTCGTCGACCCACCTATCTTCTTCGCACGGTTCCTTCTTCACCTACATTCATATCACGTTTGACAGCCTTTGATAAAAAGATCATGGGCGTCTTTGGTGACATCATCGGACTAGGGACATTCAAGTGTGTGACTGGAGATTTGACAAGGAGACAGGCATCTTTGCCAATTTCGTGTGGAGGGGTAGGCTTATTATCGATGGAGGAGACGACATTTGCGGCTTTCTTGGCGAGTTGGACTCTTTGGTGACATCATCAGACCAGGGACATTCGAGTGTGTGATTGGAGATTTGGCAAGGAGACAGACATCTTTGCCAATTTCGTGTGGAGGGGTAGGCTTATTATCGATGGAGGAGACGGCACCTGCGGCTTTCTTGGCAAGTTGGGCGCTCGTTGCACCTTTGTTATCTTCTCGATTTGTGATCAAAGATAGTACTATTTTGGAGATATATACGAGGGACGTCGATACGGGATCATTTCCCTTACAAGTATTATTACAACATACGAGAGATGCTTTACCACGGGAGGTACGACATGAGTTCCCATCTTTTTCCTCTTTGACTACTGATTGGACTAGGGGTCTACAGTCTATCTTGATGGACCGAAAGTTTCAGAAGACTCTACATTCACTCTTAATGGATTCGGCCATTCCTCGTACTACTAGAGCTCGTCTACGCTCTTGCTCGGGCAAGGGTGCAGGCTCGTGGATCTTGGCTCGACCATGCATCAGGGCTTTCCGACTTGCACCATCTACTTTCTCCACATCGATGAGGTTCCGTCTTGGCTTGGTCCATCCATCTACATCTTCATTACTCACATGTAAGTGTGGTATCACTTTAGATGCAGCAAGTGTTCATATGACTCGTTGTCCATTCAGAGGGCAGAGGATAGCTACCCATGATGCCATTAGGGATGTGGTGTTTGCTATGGCACGAGAGGGTGGATACCTCACATGGAGAGAACGTTGGTATGCCTTGCAGTCGACTAGGGTTAGGGCGGACTGCACTTGGTTCGGGAGGACCAGGTCACCGTGTGGGCGATGTGGTGGTTACCGATCCTACTAGAGACACAATTTCGAGAGGGTGATCACCCATCCTCCGTGATGGGCGGCGAGTGGAGCGGCAGTAGCCAAGGTCTCCAAGTATAGAGGTATGCAGAGAGGTCACCTTTTTGTTCCTCTAGCTTTGGAGTTATATGGAACTATGGACACCGATTTCGACATGTTCGTGAGGGAGTGTGCGAGAGCCTACCATACTAGGCGACATGGGGTATCACTCTCTTTAGCTTACTGTATAGCCTATTTTAGGCAAAGTGTTTCCATTGCTCTACACAGAGCACTAGCTTGTGCAATCCATAGGAGAGCATCACCTAACGTGATTGCTCTCCTATGCTAGTGCTCTCTGTAGAGCAATGGCTGGTGCAATCCATAGGAGAGCAATCAAGTTAGGTGATGCTTCTTCGGATGCTCTGTTGTTTGTAGACCTTTTAACTTGGATAGTTCAGATATCTTAGGTGTTGTAGGACATATTTCCCATTGTGATACTATTGGGGCCTAGCCCCATGTTACCGGTTTGGTTCCATCCTTGTACAATTTGATGGGGTCTTCCCATCCCTTTTGTTATTATACTTTCTCTCTCTTATGGAATATCATAGTCGACTTCCTTCACCAGCAAGTTCGATTGCTGGTGAAGCTTGTACTGATGGCAACACATAAGAACAAGCTTTTGTTCATCATGTTCTCTTCGTATAATCATAAACACTATCTATCCACAATTAATTGTATTCGTGAGCAGTTTTGACAAAAACGTGAGTATGTATGTTATTATGGGAAGATTAGGAGGTATGAAGAATCATGAGCTTTTGACCTTGAGATGATCTGGAGACAAAACACATGCTCGTGAATCCAACGCAAGGAAGGGGTGGTGTGACAGGTCCCACAACGTAAAAGACCCAAGTTTCTCTTGGTGCCAGGCATCGGTGTTTGGTTATAGTTTTGGAAATACAGAACAACACTTTAGGACTGCATCAGTTCTTCTAGAGCTGTGTAACCAAAACCGTAGCAACTAAGCAGCCCAGTTTCTTCCTCATTTTGTACTCACGAGCAGTACGAAAATCACATAACGATCAGTAGGGCAGCTTTTCAAATCCACGGACAAAACGAGGCTGGAACTCAGAGAAACGTTCCTCTATGGACCTTGTCATTGCCAAATGCTGCCTTACTGGCGCAGTCAGACCTTCACGAATTTAGAATGGGGAAATTCGCGGCTCAGTGCAGCTATAACCGACGCGAAAAAGTGGGGCGAGAGAGGCTCGAACTCTCGACCTCCGGATTTCTCGGTAGCTATGAGACCGACGCGCTAACCAACTGCGCCACCGCCCCTTGTTGCCTGGAAAGCAGAAGAAGTAAGTTATAAATATAATTTTTATCATCATTTGTAGTCTACTTGGTCCCTTCTGAAATTAGACTGCGACTTGTTATTTGTTCGCGTTTGTTATTCCATGTTTCTCCGATTTTATTTTGCTTTTTAATAAGCCATGTTTGAAACGAGAACTTGATCCTTAATTCTCAGCATCTATTATTGCTACATTGATTCTCCGTTGATTAGGAACTTAGGAAGGTGATTATTCAAGATTACATCTCTGGCTTCATTTGGGACGGTCATTCCATACGAAGGCTGAAACGCTTTCAAGGCGCTCCTACGATTGTCGCCGGAAGTTGGTCGTCTTCGGCCTTCAGACTCTACACAAGTACGATTCATATTGTGCTCATGGAGACAGCATCTTGCTCTCTCAGGTTCGCACCTCAAATGATGTGGGAAAATTTTAGTGCTTTGACCTGTCCCCTAACGATACAGGTCAAAGCACTCATAATTCGACGGTCATTCTTGGTGCTGACAAAATCGAAATCAGTGCGATTAGGGCTGATGAACAACAAATCTGTAACCATGGTTCGCTCATGGTAACCAATGATTTCCACAAACGAATATGCTGACGCAGTACAGCGCAGAGGTTATGCTCAGTATCAACCGAGACGATTCCTCTATTGTGGCTTAAATGTGTATCAACCGCTCTTTAGTATACATCGTTTGTCAAATCTTTTCGCCACTACCTTCAGCGTGAGGGAGCATGCTCGACGCTGGTTACCTACCTAGTAATGAACCTAATCAGAGGCATTGATTACGGACTTGGAAAATGCAAATTGTATTTCTGCAAAAGCCATGAAATTTAAGCAAGTATATCCCTCGGCTGACAGTCTCACTTAGCCTTCATTAACCCGCGGGGTTAGTTCACATCTTCTATCTTATAGACAAAGCATGATTGATTGAAGTTAGTTTGGATTCCTGAAAAACCGTGAAATACGCGTACAGTGAATAATCCAGTTGGTGGCACTTGAGCATTTTCTCAAATTTTGAGTGAATGAATAAAGTTTTGTCCGATTCTACTTTTTTCTCAGCTACGATTAATCTAAGGTCTCTGTGTCATACTTATCTCATTGCTTCTCATGTCCACATTACTGAAACAGCACTGATCTCCTCAGTTACATTCATACAATTGACCTCCCTTTGGAACTAGTGACACTTTAAGCTCAAAAGAATCTTCACTTCTAATGTACTCCCTACATTTACGCAACGGAAGCCAGTATATGAACCCATAAGAGGACAATATTGGGAGAAGAACTGAATGTCGTACAACGGCACTGCAAAGAAAATCCAAAACCTCCCAGGCTGGCAGAGAACATATGATCAGCTCGCAGCGCAGCTGCTTTCTGTCCCCTATAAACTCTGCAACTTTCCTCTGCAAAGGAGCGAGCAAATCCTTGGAGTCCTGGTGTTGAACGAATAGTTTACAAGAAAGATTTTCGTAGTATAATAGTAACAGTCACTACCTCTTGAATCAACCTTCGAGAATAAGCTAAAATGATGGTGCTCACTGGCTTGACGGTTGTAAAATGTGCTGAAGATCAGCCTCACCGAAGCGGACTACCTCAGCACAAAACTCACACTTGACCTCCACGTGACCTGCATCAGTGCGGTGTTCCCCAGCTTATAACGTGGTAAACATCAAAAGCAATAACGACTGTACTTAAGGTAGTTAGAATTTAGAAGTTGATACAGGACAATAATCGTCTCTCACCTTGCTCTGCAAGTATTTCCTCCACGTCTTCTTTACCCAGAGAAGCTACAGCACGCACCATGCGAGGCTTTAATTCTTCGACAGTACAGGGTCCAAATTTGGGTTCGGGCTGTATCAAAACGGACCAATCTGTGAGCTTTACATCGGTTTACACGGCTCGTTCTTCGGCAGCGACATACTGTACTTTAAATACACTGCTCTGCCAAATTTCACGGTGAAGCTCGATATGCGAGTTCAATCATGGCAGTGACCACTAGGTACCTCTAATCATACGCAAGATCATTCTGAAGGTGGCAGAAACTAGACGATGACCCTGAAATAAGAGGCATCCCGCGGATCAGAGTAGACTCATTTCTCCTGCAAACCTTACTCACCAAGTCATCGTAATCTCCAATACCAATGCCCTCAAGTAAAAGCTCTGAAATCTTTTTTGCTGTCATGACATCGTTGGAATCAGAGAGAGGGGGCATTTTCAGAATATTATCCTCCAACTTCGCTAAAGTTTCATCGGAACAGAATGGCAGCACCTGCCAATACAACACTCCTGTCATTCAAAAGTTTTGCCATCACACTGAAGTAAGGAGTCCTCTTTTACGAAGAGTGACAAACGGAGATGGGGACCTAACGCACTTAGGCTGCGGATCTGAGAAAGCAGGAGGTAGAAAGTGTAAGTTCATAATTACTGATAAAATACACTTCTTCCATTTAAATTAGTAAATTGATTATATTATTTTTTTGTGGTGGCGGGAGTTGAACCCACGACTTTCATCACCCCAATTCCAGAATTGTCCGAAGGGCAGAAGACCTCTACTTTGTGAAAACTTTTAGTTGTAAAATTTTGAGTGATGAGACGAATCTCACCTGTACTAAGAATCCTCCAGCGAACTGAACCGCTGTATTTTTACTAAGAGAAACGCCTACTCCAAGGGCAACATTAATCTGCAGCAGAAAAGCTTTGTTAGCTCCGTACGCAGCAGCGACTAGAACTGGAAAAACAGATGACAGCTACCTACTCCTGCTCATCAGCTACACGCTGGAATAGACGGTGGAACATACCTAGCAATACCCAACTTCTTCCGGTGTTCCACGTAGGTTTGAGAATATTGCAAAAAACATCAAAACACGAACTTGGCATGCGAGACACAACCCAAGTATCCCAATATTTGACGAGGAGAACAATTTGCAAACTGTAAGTCATAAGTCACACATACTTGAATTACCTGCTCACTGTCTGCTAAATAGTGGGCAATATCTTCTGCAACTTCTCCAGAATAAATAGGCACAGTTCCACTGAATGAGAGAGGGCACATCAGTCAGTACATATGGATCTGCTCGTGAAACTGCCGATAATCTCAAACTGCTTGGGTTGACATAGCTGGTATGGAACTTACGAGTAAGGTTGTGCCCAATTTGAGTTGTTTCGCACTACAGTTAATATACCAGTTCCCACAGCTGATCCTACATCAAGCTGCGTGACAATCAGACTTCGATTGAAATAACGCCATGCAAATTTTAGCCAATAAAATACCGCTGTCAGGTAGGTTACGAGATACAGAGTGTCTTGTTCAGCATAATCTGAGAGAGAGAGAGAGCGCCACGCTTTTAAATGCTCATATTATGGGAGAGATATTATGGGACGTACTTTTCCATCCGCTTTCAGAGGAGTTTCACAAGCAGGGTTGCCAACGAATCCCTTCACCATGTTATCCCGGCAGAGAGTTGTCATCTGCCCTAACGGTCCTTGTCCCAGAAAAGTTACCTGCGCATTCGTAGAACCTCAGGAAAAAGTGCTCCTAAATTCACGAATTTAAGGAAAAAACAAGACAAGTTCCTGCGTACAGACATTGCAAGTTAGCTGTAGATATAGTAGAGTGTAATATTCTAATGAAGTAAAAAATAGATAGTCAACGTGCTTAAAGGTTAGCTGGAGGTACCTGAACAGATTCATCGTTTCCCTTCATGGCACCCACAAGAAGAGTTCCCATTAAAGCTCGACCTAATGCTGCCGAAGCCTGTAAGATGAGAAAAATCACATAAAGTGTAATCAGTACTCGTAGTTCAAACTCTCGGAGCTAGAAGCAGCAATTTTCGCGAAAGGTAGTAAGATGATGATGATCAGTTACCCGATGACTAATGTGGTCTTTCACCAAGCAAAGAGTAAGTACTAGAGCAGTTATATTCACTCCCCCATCTACACAGTCTCAAGGCTGGCCTGGGTATGGGTAACACAAATCAAAGATTTGAGTTGAAGAACATGAGTCCCTGTGTACTAATGGGCACGCACCGTTGGAGAAGTTTGATGACGGCGTTGAGCTTCTCGTACGACGTCTGTTGCCACAAGTGTGAGAATAGAGACCTGCAAAAAGGTGAAAGTTACGACTACCAACGCTGACTGTATGACGTCGTATAAATCTTGTACCATGCATAAAACAAAACCACTAGTCATCTGTTCCATCTGTTCTACCTGCCATATCTGATCATCGTCGAAAGTACGAAACAGGTACAACCATGCAATAAAGAAATCTCAAGCTTCTAAACAGCGAAAAACTCTCGCTTGCCCGGAACAGATTTCATCAAAAGCATTACCTCAGCATCATAGGAGATGCACCGTAAAAGCTGGTCTCCTTTGGATACTCCGACCCCGTTCTTAGCTCCATTTTCCCCCTGAGCTACGGTTGTGAAGACTCTCAACCTCTGAGGTAGTCTTTTATTTACAGAAGGACGAAGAGAGTGCCTAAATGTCACTCTGAAAAAGTCTGAGCTAAACCCAGGCCTTTGGTTATTTGACTGCGCTCCAGATTTCAAATTTGAAGAGTGTCGTTGGAGAAACTTTTGTCCATCTAAAAACGAACCACAAAGGAACACTGTCAAAGCCCTGGTTGCAAATCCAACGAAAACAGCAGAATTTAATCTCTCAGAAGCAGCTAGGCTCCTTGCGAGCACAGCTACGAAGCATGCATTGAGAGTTTATTTCAACAAAATTCTACACAAGCAGTTTGAAAAACAGCTACGGATTTTCTCGGTGCTTCTGCTGCTCTGTTTGACACTTGGCTCTCCAAGATCAATTTCAACAGCTTTCTGTCATAGTAAGGTAAAAAATACTCAGAATAAGGGGCAAAATATGTCACAATTTCTTCGAACAGAGAATCTTCTTCTACTTTGTAAATGCCTCTGAATTCGGCCTTGAATTGAACAAACAAAACCTCTTCATAATTTGGGATAACTTTCGCTGGTCGAATCGAGGTAA